CTCCACGGCTGAGTCTTCTGCGGGGTCATGAAAGCTAAGAGAGGGTTCCCTGAGCCTCGTCCTTTCCCCTTGCAGCCCCCATGTCTTGCACTGCATCCCAGGTCTCCGATCCCACCTCCGTGAGAACTTTGGGCCTGTTCTTCAGGTGGCGAGGCCGGTTGGGTGGGTTGGCTGGTTTAGGGTTACGGAGTTTGGCACTAGCTCACAGCCCCGTGCAGCTGCCTTCTTTAATTAATTAATTCCAATTTTTAAAAAACCATCTCTTCAATTGGACCTCAGTGCATGCCTCTGGGGCATATGTGACATCAATTAAAGACAGCAATTAATCGTGCTGCCTAAAAGAATCTCTGAGCCTTTTAAAGACTCAAACGCAATCGGGCCTAACTGCCCTAGATCACTCTGCTGTAGACAGACCCTGAGGCAGCACCCCCAGGGTAGGAACTGGGTGGCAACAGTCCACTTAGAGATGGGAGATGCTCTCCTGTTGTGGGTGACTCCCTCAGCGCCCATGCTCCCTAACCCCAGGGTTCCTCTTGGCCTTTGCTTAGATAGCCAGGAAGCTAAGCTATTGCAGGTAGTGTGGTGGCCTGGTTTCTCTGAGGTAGGACCAACGTCCCTCAAATTCCAAAGCCCACCTCTCCACTGTCCTAACTGATCATCTTGCATCGATAAAGATGAATTGCAGGACCTCTAACAACAGGACAGGGACTGAGTTGATCTGTCCTTCCATCCATAGAGATGGTTGACATAGGGTTAGCGAAAGCTTTCACAGCGGTTTGAATTGGGAAAATGGTTAAAGATGTTGCTTGAGGGCAGAGGTGATTTCTTTTTCTATTTTTTCAAAGAAAATGTATTTCTTTTTGAGAGGGTAGTTAAACATCCACTAGCAACCTTCCTGATCTCTGAACACTTCATATTTGCTTATGCTAAAATGAGTCTATGAGCTTGCAGTGAGGGGGTTGCATTTTCCTGCCCACCCTGGGTGGGTGGGAGACAGGCAGCCACCCCCTCGAGGCTCAGGGCTGAGCAGGAGGGCGCGAGGGAGCCAGCATGCTCTATTGGAGGAAGTTTTATCAATTCCTTACATCTGCTAGTGGACACTCGTCCCACTTAGAAGTGGAATTACCACTCAGGACTCTTGGAAAAGGTGGGGGTAATGGGAAGGGGTTTAAAGGAGCAAAACCCATCCTTCGGAGGCCTGCATCTTCGGCAGACCAAGGGACCCAGGGATGCAGCATGGAGGAAGCTCTCCCTCATCTTGAGGCCACCATCTTGCCCCCAGGACCAACCCTGCCCTCCAGAAAGGATTTCTTAATGGTCTTTGATTCCCACCTTGCTCGACAGACACTTGGTAGAAGCTTCAGGAAGGATGATAGAACATTGAAGACAAGGAGGGGAAGAGGCATGCAGCACAGCTACAAATAGTTTTCCATGTGCAAAGCAAGTAGGCAGATGGGACTGGACTAAAACCTTAGCCTCACTAACACTGTCCTTTCTACTCAATTGGAATTAAAAAAAATTAGTAGGCCAGGTAAACATGACTTTCCTTATCTATTTAACTCATTTATTTATTGGCATAGGTGAGTTGACTGTGACTCACTTTTGTCCCTTTATGTTTGCCAGAGTCGTGGCTGTCCATTTGAGTCCAAACTTCCAGAGAGCAGAGACCACATCTGTTCAATTTGCTTTGTATGGTGTCCAGCAGAGGGCTGCAGTATCGTGTCACAGAGAAGTGCTGGACTTGGACCCCGGGGACCCAGATTTTACTTCTGGCCATGTTACCCTTAAAATCTGGACCTTGGTTTTAATTTGCTGTTAAAAAATAGTGGGAAGAACATTTCCTGCCCTTCCTACCTCCCAGGGTTGAGGGGAGGAGTAAATGAACTACTGGAGAAGAAAGACTTGTACAAATGGCCATATACCTGTTGCTTTGAAAAAATTATAAAATGCATTTTGATGACAAGGACACCAGAATGATCATACTCCAAACTCTGAGATGTTTCAAATAGAAGAGGTGATGTACAGAGATCACAGCTGTAGGGAGCTGTGAACCAAATGGTGGGTCCAGGTTACAGCCAAAACCAAGCTTGAGATGGAAGTGACACTGGCTGTCTCAGTAGCCTCCCTCATCTCTATCCCCAAAGCAAAACAGCTCTACTCACAGATCTGGTCTTTTAGTGAATCCTCTTTTTTTCTTCTAGAGCACCCTGGCATTCATTTTAACTTTTCACTGGAATTTAAGTGGGAGTGGTGGGAGCTGAGGGGGCACAGAATGAAAGTGCCCACGGACCACATTCCTTTAAGACTGTAAATATACATACACACATGAGCGCATGTGTGCATCTACAGACAAGCCCTGTGGCAGACAAGCCAAGAGTCCAGCTCTCTGGGCTGTCTCTAAACACTATCACTTAGAGATATGAGGGGGGGAAAGTGAATACAAAAGGAGAGACCAGGACAGCTTTATCTACTCTGTAGAAGGGGCAGTTTCCTATAGCAAGGGCTTGGAGATGAGAATTGGATAGTAACTCTTAGGAAAAGAATGAAATTACAAGGTATTAACAAACACAGTCAGCTTTCTAGAGTAGAATCCTAGGTATCAGATCTGGAAGGTTCTAAGAGTTATATAATCCCCTCTTTGCACAAAGCCTCAAAGATGAAGTGATTGAACAAAGGTCACAACACTACAAGTATAAGGACCCAGAAGGTCATGACCAAGCTCTGGCCCCAAGTCTGGTACAGCAGGACGGGGTTATATTAGTTAATGAGTTGGTAGGGAGCCACGGCCACTGCCCCTCCATAAGTAAGTGTGTTAAGAACTATTATTGACTAGGGGTACACCCCTGAAAACTTGGGGAGCAAAGAAATGCAGTGAATAGGGAGTTTGTACCAGGCCATCAAGCTCACCTTATAGAAACCAGATAGCTCTGCTGCTGTTTCAGTTAAATCTGTGAAGGTTTTCAGAACTGTCAAAGTATACAGAACTTTTTACTAAAACTTTTAAATTAAAAAAAAATGGGTCCTGTTGATTTCCGCCCACCCTTATTGAAAAAGTTAGTGAGGAACTATCCGGGGCCGGGAAACCAGGATGACAGAAGACTTGTCTTTCAACAAGGCCAGTGTGGGTGCTAAGCCCTGCCTGCCATGACTGCTAAGCTGTAGTGCCCGCAGCTGAAGAAGGCAGGCTGACTGAGGGCA